AGGGACCTTAAACAATATACAATCAATCAATCTTGTTTGAAGAGGGTAACGGAATCAGCCGAGGTGTGCCGAAAGATCTCAGCCAGTTAAAGTTTACGGAGATGACTGAGCAACAACCGTGGTGCCAGTAAAAGCTTATGTAGAAAAACAAAATCAAGAAATTCGAAAGAATAATACGGCCTGTTAGGTGTAGATCAGTTAACTGTTTAAGGTTTTTTCTTACGGTAAGCTTTTTTAAAAAGCTTTACTTATCTTACATCAAAGAGTAATTCATTGACACGGGGACCTGGTTTACAGACGAATGCGAATGCTGTTAGTAATACCGAGAGTCAACTTGGCCAACAAAGAACGTCCGCGACCATTACTACTAGTTCTCGACCCCGGAGAACAACTATACGTTGGACACAGGTTTTGCCCGCATTTCAGCATCAACGGCCGGCGCAGCGGAACAAATGACGGAACTCCGAAGAACCCCTTTGGATTTTCGGCTTAAGTCCCTTCCTTTGGTGGAAATGATTTCACCGCAACTTCGTCAACAAATCACAGCAGGTAAAGACGTCAATTTAACATCACTATTGATTCCTTCCTACTCACCTCCCGATGAAAAAGAGGAAAATAAGAAGCCTGATAAAAGACTTACGTTCTCTTATTATTGGGGAATTTATCCAGGCTTTTGGGATATATAAAAACATTATGGGCCAAGCATAACCGCAGAGAAGACAAGAGCTAAATTTATACGAATTATTTCTCCCTTTGTAGATCTTATGTTAGAATGTATGTTTTCCTGTGCATATTTTGGGTTTCATGAATGTGAATAAATTACCTTCAGATGGCTAATTCTGAACATTTTTTAAAATTACATGTCAGTTTTGGAAATGCTGTTGAGAACTTCAACAAGAGGCCCATGGGCCACATTGCTAACCTGAGAAACTTTGACCATTCTGTTCTTTACCAGATTTCCCCCTTGTAATACATAATGCAGTCCCACCCTACCCCGCTGATCATTTAAACACTTGAACATTTTTTTTTATATATTCCTTCTTAAACTTTTGATTCCCAATTGTAGCCCCACCCTTCTCCCCCGGGGGTCATGATTTGAACAATATAGAATCTACACTATACCAGGATGCTTCCACATAAGTTTCATCTTTTTTGGCCCAGTGGTTCATGAGAAGAAGATTTTCAAAGATTTTTTCCTATATATTTCTATGTAAAACTTTGATTCCTCATTGTGGCCCCACTCTTCCCCCTGGGGTCATGATTTGAACAATTTAGAATCTACACTATACCAGGATGCTTCCACATAAGTTTCAGCTTTTTTGGCCCAGTGGTTCTTAAGAAGATTTTCAAAGATTTCTCCTATATATTTCTATGTAAAACTTTTATTCCCAGTTGTAGGCCCACACTTCCCCTGGGATTCATGATTTGAACAATTTAGAATCTACACTATACCAGAATGCTTCCACATAAGTTTCAGCTTTTCTGGCCAAGTGGTTCTTGAGAAGAAGATATTTCAAAGATTTTTCTCTATATTTCTTTGTAAAAATTGGATTCCCCATTGTGGCCCCGCCCTTCACCCGGGGGTCATGATTTGTACAATTAAGAATCTTCACTCTACCAGGATTCTTCCACATAAGTTTCAGCTTTTCTGGCCCAGTGGTTCTTAAGAAGATTTTCAAAAAAAAATTTCCTATATATTTCTATGTAAAACTTTGATTCCCCATTTTGGCCCCGCCCTTCCCCCGGGGGTCATGATTTGAACAATTTAGAATCTACGCTATATCATGGTGCTTCCACATATGTTTCAGCTTTTCTGGTCCAGTGGTTCTTGAGAAGAAAATTTTCAAAGATGTTTCCTATATATTTCTATGTAAAACTTTGATTCCCCATTGTGGCCCAGCCCTTCCCCCGGGGGTCATGATTTGAACAATTTAGAATCTACAATATATCAGGATGCTTCCACATAATTTCATCTTTTCTGGCCCAGTGGTTCTTAAGAAGATTTTTTAATGACCCCACCCTATTTTTGTGTTTTCTTGATTATCTCCCCTTGTGAGGGGACTCTTACCTTTATTTTAACATTCACCCAAGGATGCTTTGTATCAAGTTTGGTCAAAATTGGCCTAGTGGTTCTTGAGAAGAAGTCGAAAATGTGAAAAGTTTACAGACGGACAGACGACGGACAAAATGTGATCAGAAAAGCTCACTTGAGCCTTCGGCTCAGGTGAGCTAAAAATAAATCTATCTTCTAGAGGTGTAAATATTATTATTTGTGAAAATAATGTTTTTAAGCCTGTACATACTATGCGTCTATATCTGCACGTAAGAAAATCCTTATCGTGTTATCCTCAAATGTTATCCAGAAATGCATTATGTCTCATGTTTATTAAGTTGTCGTCTGAGCATCCCCAAAAGTTTAGGTGACCGAGACTATTAAGTACTGAAACCAGGTCTAGGGATTCCACGGCTTAAAAAACATCCCAATAAACTTAATCTTTCCATGTAAGTTGAACTTGATTTGTTACAGTTTAACGTCCTTTGCCGTTCTTACACCATTCATTCATTGGTGTTTTTTTTTCAACTTAATATACAATAATTACCTCTGTCAGTATCTAACACTGGTTTCTTGGCAAACGGAAGTAAATCTAAAATATACATAATATCAGTCTCTACCAAGAGTTATCGTTCGTACCACATTTATACAGCTAAGTGAGGTACGAACGATAACACTGGGTATGAAAAGTTCATATCGTGTCGCCCCCTACACTGTGATGCATGATGTCAATGTCCGAGCAAAAGCGATGAAGTTAGCCTGTACAAATTCTACCAATAATAGACCTAATACAAAGATATGTTGTGTCTCTTACACCTGCAACTACACACACATCGATAGTTTCACGAGTCGTACCATGAAGTGTTCACGTGATCGAAACCTGAACTACCGAGGTGTTCCGAAAAAATAGGTCTGGGGATTCCTCTGCTAAAAATAAACTCAACCTTGTCATGGCTATTTAGCGCTGTAAGGATCCCCAACCGTGTGAGAGCAACAAATTAATTCCTAAACAATGTACCTAATATAAGAAATTTTATCTGCATACTACATATGTGTATATGTATGACTTGCGCCGCGTGGGTATCAATTAATAGATAAATAATAAACAAATTTACCATTGCATGGCACTGCATTCCCAGGCCCAAGTTTCTTTGTAAACTTCTGCCACTTTCTGGGGAATATTTTCTGAGAACACCTCGATGCATACACTTCTCGAATCCTTGTTTCACTGTCAGGACTAAATACGCGAATACATGTCAAGGATGTTCGACTGCAGTCCGCTACACCGTCTGCATTTGAAATGCAAATTCCACAATTCAGGGGAAGGGCACCCGTTTCATTTAACACAAAGTTAATTACAGTAATCAGCATCAAACACATAGGCCTATTCATCATCAGTGTGATGCATCTTCCCCACTTCTGCTGCAAAATCCGCGCCGTTGATAAGTCTCTGCACGTACAGAAAAAAATTTTAAGCGCTAACGTATTGTCACATGACCGGGTGTGGATCATGGGGTAAAAAAAGAGAGTACATTGAAAAGCCTTATAGTTTTGATTAAAATGATGACACATATATTACGAAAAACACTCTCTCTGTTGTATAACGCAAACCTTTGAACAAATATTCAAAATGATGACAGATATTGGCGGCTAGTGGTGATTAAATAATAATGCCAATGACACAAACTTATTTTTTTTACTATGAATTGTGCCCATAGTTCATAACGACACACACACTGTGTTGTTCATTACAATTTGATATTTCAACATGTAGTTAATTAATATGGTTTAATATTACAGACACAAGACGATTATTGTGTCTGTGTAATAAATCTGGTTACTCAGATTACACGTAAACAATTTTTTTAATGTGATAAGTGTTTATAAGGTTAGTGTATCCATCCTATCGCACATCGACAGTGTACATAATCTACTAATGTTGTCTAGTGAACTCGCTTTTGAGCGAATTAACTTTGTCGTCGAAAACCTACATCAGTATATAAAATGTACTATTGACAAGATTGTTTTCTAGATCTATTTTACTCTTTTATAAAACTTACTTCAGTGATCTTTTGTAAATGACTGTATGGATGAGACAAGTCATTTAAAATGGTGTGAAATAGCTAGGATTTCGTCAATTTATAGGAAAATTAAACTCAGGATAATTATAGAATATTCTCATAGCAACACATACACATACATGCAACTACAGAAAACGAACTTTATACAGGTGTGAAATAACAGATAAATTACAGAAAACGCGCCCAATATTTTTTAAAAGGTGAACGGAACTATTTAATCGCATCGGTAATTACAGAAAGCGCACGTGGTATTTTCTTGATTTAAAAAAAATCGCTTCGGTAATCAAGTCGTGTCATGGCAATTTAACTTCACACAGGTGAAATTAAAGAATATTAGCATGACAATAATTACAGAAAACGCGGTATTTTCTAAAAGGTGAACTGAACTTTAAAAAAAAAAATGCTTCGGAATTACAGAAAACGCGCCCGATATGAAAACTTTAATTAAAAAAATCGCTTCGGTGATCTGGGTGTGCCATGGTAATTCAACTTTATCCAATATTTTCTAAAAGGTGATATGAACTTAAAAAAACCCGCTTCTTCACATCATACAAGATATCAAACAATTACTTAGATTAATTACAAAATGTCATGCTTGATAATAAAAAATAGATATAACTTGTACAGTACCAAATAAGATCATCTGTAAATTTGTGAACAGTTGTAAAAATGTTTATATTGGTTTGCAAAGGTAAAACTTTATCACCACATGGTAACAATTTTGTGTCAATATTAATGAAATCAAAAGTAAAAAGTCGATTTTCAACATGTATAACCTTTTTGCTTGAAAAATATGTGTTTTTTAATCACTCTTCTTCTTTCTGTGCTGAATGTGTAAACTTTTTTAATGCATGTGTTCTTTTATTTATATATTTATTTATAAATTTATTTTTCCTGCTGTTTATTGGGGCGCCTTAATGGGAAAAAAATATTTACGACTTCGTAGTACCAATATACTATTTTCTGAAAGGTTAGTCGAACTTTAAAAAAACGCGCGCGATATTTTCTTGAATGATCCTTCCAGCGTTTTTTGAGACGGTTTCTATAATTTTCTATATTTTAAATAAATACAATTGTTAAACGACAAGCCCTGCCCCTTTTCTCCCAAATCAGTATAAATGGAGAGGATAAATGCAAAGCAAATCACAGTCTTCAGAACAAATCGTTCAAAACGACAGAAGCTTTTTTAGATTTCGAGCAAAAGTGGATCGAGATGGGGAAGGAATTCCAGGTGGCGTTTGAATCAGGGTAAGTACTCTTTTTAAAAATTATCACTTTTTAATATGTATTAGCTGTCATTTTGAAGTCAAAAATTATTTTCATGTTGAAATTGTGATTTTCTGTTACAATGAAAAACAATGTATATATAAAAATAAACAGGTTAACATTTGTTTGCTTCAATTTTTTGTCCCCGCTTGAAAAGTGGGTGATATTAATTTGGGTTTGTCCGTCCGTCCGTCTTTCTGTCTGTCTGTAACGCTTTCGTTTCCACACGATATCTCGAGAACCCTTTGAGCTTTTGCAATGAAATTTAGCATAGCAACTCCCTGTGGCCTAAGGAAAACCCTCACTGATTTCGAGGTCAAAAGGCCAAAGATCAAGGTCATAAATAAGCAAAATCTGTCTGTTATAAAACTTTCGTTTCCACACGATATTTCTAGAACCATTTGAGTTATTGCAATGAAATTTTACATAACAACTCCCTGTGGCCTAAGGAAGACCCCTATTGATTTTGAGGTAAAAGTTCAAGGTCGTAAATTTATACATTCTGTCTGTGTGTAACACTATCATTTCCGGGCGATATTTCAAGAAGAATTTGAGCTTATGCAATGTAATTTTATACCAAAAACTTTCTAGGACCTCTCTCAACCCTCTCAAAGTGCCCCGCCCCGGTTTTTAAAATTATCATTTATAGTATTACATGTCGCTTTTATTAGCACAGGGGCAAGCGGAGAGTTATTGTGAATAAAACAGGTTTTCGGCGGGCTTTATGTTCTTATTACATCTATTAGAACTGTTTAATGAAGGCTAAATAAATCAAACACCATGGATTGTGTAAAATTTTGACAATACCGAACATGAATATATATATATATATATATGTATGTGACTTCACTTCTGCATATACTTGACTTCATTTAAAGCGATTCCGTGGTCTATTGGTATGTCTCCAGCTTAACATGTCAGAGGTCCCGGGATCGAATCTCGGACGATCCTTTCTTTCTTTAACTTTTCTTTTTTTAAATGATAGCATTCAGCATGTGAAAAGAATTATTTAGGAGGTTAAAAAATCATCATTACAGTGTGATAAATATTCCATATAAAAAGAATCTTCTATACACATAATAAAGAATAAGCAATCAAATCTTTATACGCATATTGACATACATTTATTTTATTTGCTTCAGTATACATTTCATTACTCTACAAATTCAGTAAGGGGGATCCGACTTTTGCCCTAAGCGGGGGACACCAATTCTCTGAATTAGCTTGTTTTTAAATAATGCTCAAAAATTCTAATTTATTAGAAACTCCCCGGGGGACCCATACCAGGTTGAAGAAGATAAAACCTCCCCTAAACAATGTCAACCTACATACAAGAGAAAATTAAGTGAATCAGAAGACTCACACATTCTTTTGAGAAGGTAAATTTATTTTATCTTTACTATTATTCTAAAAAAAATATAAGAAAACCCCCACTCCACCACATACTATTAAAATCTTTTAAATTGTAAACATAGACATTTTTTACTCTTTTTTTTTGGAAAATCTTTTCATAGGAAAATGAATAAAGAAAACAGACCTGAGAGTGATGGGTTCTCGCAGCAGAAGAAAGAGGAGCATCCACTGCTGAAAACATTCAGGTAAACTTATCAGACTTTAAGGCACACAAAATCAAATAAAGATTAGTAAAGCATGAAGCAGACTCACTTTGGTTTAAAGTATTAGTTTAAAAAAAATGAATATTTTATTTTAATTTTTTTTGCTTGTTTGTTTTTGTTTGTTTGTTTGTTTTTTAAATTATTCTTAGTATACTTATCTATTTTTTATCTATTTTTTTTGTAACAGAGAAGACAACCCAGGGAAATATACAACCTTTGAAAAACGTATCCGGTCAACGTTTACCCTCACGACACCAGTATGTATCACGTTGACTGTTAGCCATAAACCTGTGTCGACAGAGTCAGGAGAGTTCAACCCACCAGTGCCTACAAAATCCCAGGGATACAGTCCCTCATCTCCGGATAACAGTCCCTCATCTCCGAATTACAGTACAGAATCGACAGCAGTGCTAATAAAGTCGGAATCTACATATACAGTCACCCCAATGATGACTCTGACAACAACGCCCCAGGCCCCCCTTCCGTCATTCGCCGGATATAGTCAGGCATCTTCGGAATACAGTCCAGCATCGACAACAATGCTAATAAAGTCGGAACCTACATATACAGTCACCCCAATGATGACTCTGACAACAACGCCCCAGGCCCCTCTTCCGTCATTCGCCGGATATAGTCAGGCATCTTCGGAATACAGTCCAGCATCGACAACAGTGCTAATAAAGTCGGAACCTACAAGTACAGTCACCCCAATGATGACTCTGACAACAACGCCCCAGGCCCCTCTTCCGTCATTCGCCGGATATAGTCAGGCATCTTCGGAATACAGTCCAGCATCGACAACAGTGCTAATAAAGTCGGAACCTACAAGTACAGTCAACCCAATGATGACTCTGACAACAACACCCCAGGCCCCCCTTCCGTCATTCGCCGGATATAGTCAGGTATCTTCGGAAAACAGTCCAGCATCGCCACCAGTGCTACTAAGTCGGAACCTACAGTCAACCCAAAGATGACTCCGACAACAACACCCCAGGCCCCCCTTCCGTCATTCGCCGGATATAGTCAGGTATCTTCGGAAAACAGTCCAGCATCGCATCGCCACCAGTGCTACTGAAGTCGAACCTACAGTCAACCCAATGATGACTCGTATAACAACCCTCCACAATCAACACCGAGTCTCTCTCCAGTTGTAGCACCAGGGTTTTGTACGCCAACTAACAATTACCCTCTCAAAGGGAGCTTAACGCTTTAAACGAATTGCTAGATATCGTCCGTGTGGACCTTCTCCAAACGTCAATGGTGGTACATTATATTCAAGATTTCATGAAAAAATTTCAGTGATATTTTTTAAGAGGAAAGGGTTAAACTAAATGTCCATCTGCTTAATTTACATGATCATTATATGTGTTCTTTTTTTTTTAACTCTATCCAAGTATTTGTTCATTTTCAAGTATGCAACTATGTCTTAAATGTTTTTTTTCCCTTTTTTCTTAGATGTTCAGATTATCTATTTGTTGTGAAACTCGCAATAAATTTTATAGTGATATAAAATTTCTTTCTTTTAAATGAAATAGAGTAACATTTCAACATGTACTTACTACTATGGGAGATTGATACTAGTTAAACTTTTTTTTATAAATTAACCTTGGGTCATAACTATTGAATGAAAAGAGTTAGGGCTTTCATGTTAAATATATTTTGCCTTTGACAATACCTTTCTAAATACGCTATGATTTTTTACCCCATGACCTTGATGTTTGACCTTCTTGTCACAATCGTTAATTTTTCCTTATAACTATTGATTGAAAAGAGATCAGGCTTCCATATTGGAGTATATTTCATACTTACGCCACAATAGATCAAAACAAAGATTTTTTTAAGCTAAAAAATTCAGAAGCACATTCAACAAATCAACACAATTATGTAAGTGAAAAATATGTAATTATAAGTACATCAAAGATTCGTCTCCATTAGGGTCATACGCAACGTAGTTTTAACTTTTTTGGATTCTCCCTTGGAGTTGAAGAGTTCCACTAAATGAAGGACCTGTGTGCAATATTTTTAAAGTCTAGATATGGATTTGTACACCTCTTCTTAAACAATTTTTGATGGAAAAAAATCTGGAATTCATGTTTTATAATTTTTGTACATTTTATATAATGCAAAAAATCAAAATTCGACTCTTCTCAAAACCCCTGGTAACGCATGCTGATTTTTTTCTCTAAGTACATGTAATGGTATTATCATTTTGAATTCAGAATATCTTGAAAAATTATCAGTAGGTAAGGTACGTTGTGTAATGCAAAAAATTTCAAAATTCGATATCTTCTCAAAACCCCTGGTAACGCATGCTTATTTTTTGTCTAAAAACATTTAATGATATTATAAGTTTACATTTAGAATATCTTGGAAAATTATCAGTAGGTAAGGTACGTTGTGTATGTCCTTAAACAATTGATTGTTTATGTTCGATCACGTTTTTTTTCTGTATTATAAAAAATTTACTATAGAATTGGTACTTTTTTGGAGGGGGAGATCAAAATAAATAATGTAATTATGATAACTTTCATTATTTTTATTAAATTTCATTTTAAAAAATGTTTCTTTTATAGAAACGGAGAAAGAACTTACCAAATTTGCAAACTAGGCATACAGCACGGTACTGATAGATTTAACTAAGAAGCCAACATCTGGTCCAGTTTTAATATCGGAGAAGAAAGAGTAAAGGGAAACGAAACAGGATTCAAACAGACAAAATAAAGGAAAGTAAAGAACAGGAAGAAGAGCTAAGTCCCAAAAAGAAGAAAAAAGACATGTCCAGTACCACAAATAGAAAGAAAAGAAACATGGATCTGAATAAGTAATCCCTAGAAAAAGAGAAGGAGATGAAAATAAAACTCCCGTCAAAGAAGAAAATTGAAGACACAGCTGCACAGAAGTCAGCATTGTACATTTCCGATTTATTAACCCAATTAATTGATTCATTCGCCTGTACCATTCACAAGAGTAGACCAAGAAACCCTGGAAAATGTGAGACATCCAACTTCTGTGGGTGAAGAGCAAGAAATGATGCTGCAGCCTCGATGCCACATATACTGTCTCGTGTTGAGAGACAGTTAGTTAACCATTTGCAGTAGCACAATAATCCAAGTCCATTTATGAATTCTTTATTGACTTAGATATAAGTGTATGCGTATGCATGTGAGGTAAAGAACTACAAAGAAAAATAAAGGACTAATAAGACAATGTTCACAATATAAAATAATAGTAGTGTAAGAATTAACCAAATTTGATTATGACCGTTATGGTGTTCTATAGAAAATTACTTCAAACAGCAATGTATATGCCTCAAAATCCAGTATTTTCATTAAGCATATTCTTACAAGTTACTTTAAATAATTCTCATCCAAATTCAAGAAAGACAAATATTTAGTAACGTTAAGCAACATAAGTTGTAGGTAAAGTAATGACAATAATGGTACTTCGTACATCGTACACATGCGGTTACCAAAAAAAAAATCATAATTTTCTACCTTTAGGCTCTCGACTGCAGTTATGCATTAGACATCAAATGAAGTACATATAGCAGAATAAATTTACAGATGTATTCACAATGATTTCCCTAATCTTCCAACATATCAACAGGTAAACAATAGATCAACCTCATGGCTTCTAACACTTATTTGACAGCTCGTACATGAAACAATTCGTACGAAGGACGGAACATTTCCCGCCTGATATCTCCTAGATATCACAAATATGACTAGAATAAACAAACTGCACTACGTTACTTATAGATAGCACAAAACTAGTAGACAACATAACATAATATGACTAGATCTCTAAAAAAAATCATCTATACAAATGCTCAATGACTACATCTTAAGTTGAGACTAATAAGACAAGTTCGTTGGTGGGACGAGTATAACGGCAATTTCCTGCAACTCGAACACGAACTTTACGAACAAATTTATCCGCGCAAAGAAAGGTCTCCTCGACAACACCCAGTGGCCAGTTGTTTCTGTTGACGGCGTTGTCTCTCAGAAGCACAATATCTTCGATTTTTAAGTTCGGACGAACTTCTGTCCACTTGCGACGCTTTTGTAGGGTTGTGAGGTATTCGTCTCTCCAACGTCTCCAAAATTGATCCGACAAACTTTGGACTCTTCTCCACCCTGCACGATAAAGATCTTTCTCTGTAAACTCAGCAAGATTCCTTGCAGAAAAGGCATCCGCAGTCTTTTGAGTCATCAATGTTGCAGGGGTGAGTATGTAAGGTGATTAGGCATCTGTAGATCTTCCAAAATATTAACAGGTTGACAATAGATCAGCCTCATGGCTTTTAACACTTATTTGACAGCTCGTATATGAGACAATTCGTACGAAGGACGGAACACCACAGGTTGCTGCAGCCAAAAACCCCTGAAAAAGAAAGAGAATATTTTGGGGTAATAACAGGTCTAATTAGGTCCATATTAGGTACATTTGCCTGAAATATGGGGGTATACCTAAGATCCTGTCAAAGTAATCAGCTTAATTTACTCATATTTAATTCTCCATATTATAGTAACACTTTTTAAAATATTATTTTTATATGAAGTATAAAGTTACAAAACTAGTTTCTAAGTCTAAGGGGACTAACTCTAATTTCTGAACATGAACTCTCCTGGATGCAAGTGATCAGATACAAAACTGGTTTCGACAGGTGTGATGCAGACCACCAGAGACTTCTCGATCTGTGAAAGACAAGTGAGATGTTTAAAAAAGCATATGAAGTACATGGGCAGACCAGTCCAGGCTGTGACGGCAACCTGACCTAGGGCATGGTCTACATGGAGAGGTGTGGTCTGGGTACTCGGCTACGGCTGAAATGCAGCGGGAGCCCTTACATGTCGTGAAGGCACAACCTCTATGTGGAAATGCAATCCAATCCCAAGGGAAAAAAGCAGGAACAATAAACTATGGACTACACGTAGGTCTCAGTCAAACTCCGGTTTGCAGTTCATCTCTACGGAAAATTCTTAAGCCACAAAGACTCCACCTCCAGCCGAGTCTTCACTGCATAAAACAAGTAGTGCCGTCATGCAAAAAGTAGTTACTCTAAACAAGTGTGATATGAAAAGAGGACGCCAGAAATTATTTAACATTCATAAGTTGCAGGGCCCCTAAAACCAAAACTACACAGGAATTCAGTCCAATGTTATGAATAATAACTCCCTCTACTCTGGGGTGGTGGAAACCCTCTTACAGCCCGCCATTACACCGTCTTCTCAACTGCAGAGGATGTGACCAGTAATCACGAGATATTATCGCTAGTGACCAAAACAAGATATGTCCCGAGCGATAGCAACCCAAGAACAATCCAAGCCATGTGTGCAATGAGCAGACAAGTGAGGCAAACGTACCCCATGACCACGACATTGGTGACCTATTCACATGGGCCAAAGAGGGCATAGAAGACCTCGAGAATGATTTAAATGTCAGGGACATTACCTCAAATCCTGACAGTATCATATCAGAGGCCGCAGAGTCTTTGTATGCCGAGCGCAAACTATGATACAAACAACATTTTGTTGACAGTGCACTTGGCATCTTGCTGAAAATGCCAAAAATGCCATTAAAAAAAGATGTATTTTTACAGAAAATTAGGCTTAAAAATACTTAAGCTGAAAGAATCACACTGCTGCATAACTTTGCTTTAGATTTTACAGACAGATAGTTAATTCTACAATGTGAGTTATATAATTTGCTGCTACAAGGATGAACATGCTTTATGCAAAAACACTCTTTAGTATGCAAGGGTGGAAAGAACCAATGGCTTGCAAAAGTGCTTACCTTGATAAAAAGTTCAAAATTCAATACTCCAGGACCAATGCAAGGATTCTCAGGACCTGTGTCAAAAGGCCCCGTCGGTGCTAAACAAATCCATTCTTAATACCAATGTTTACCCATAATGGAACAATACGCAAATACGGAGTGAAACTTACTAAGCGAGTTTATCGAAGCGACACAAATTTACCTGGGTGTTTAAGCACGTAAAAATTCGTACATAAATTGTTCATTTAACAATGCAATACACGTATGTGGAAACTGAGAATTGATAGTCAAGAGGTCCTTAAATCTTGCCCACAAGCTGTAAAGGACTCACAAAAACACACATAAGTACATATGCACAGTGGCGATGCAATATCTCCGCCGCAACTAGTTGTGCGATTGGAAAGCAAGTCGGCTAAAAGAACGATCCTCACGAATTGCATTTGCATTTCTCACACAACGAACAAACTGCCAGAAAAGTTGTTGGCATTATTCATTTAAAAGAGTTGATAAAAATATAATCTCAGAATCATTTGCAGGCAAAATAAACATAATGCATTTGCAAACTAGAACTGTCCATTAGGGACAAATACCCCCCGCTTGGTTTTTCAGAGAAGGTGCCAATTCAAAATACTTTATGGATCTAGAGGTGTTCACAATTTACTTACAAAAATTTGCAGTGAAATACAATTGCTCATCATGTTTCTTAATGAATGAA